TATTATTATCATTATTTTTATTATTATTATTATTATTATTATTGTTGTTATTATTCTTATTAAGAGAGGTAGATTCATTTATCTGTTTATTTAGTGAAGTAGATTCGTTTATCTGTTTATCTAATGATTTAATATGTTTATGATTGAAATTTAAAACCTTCACCGGGAAATCTACAAGTTCCGTAAAACTCTTACTAAAACAATGTTTTAGTGTTAGAAAGTGTTTAACAGCGCTTGCAGCACATTTAGGTCATATAGGTGCCGAAAATTAGAGGAGTTACTAGAGAGTAACATACAGAGAAAAGAAGGAGGAGAGATAAGGTCGATAGACGATTGAAAGGAAAGAAGGAGAGATATGGACCTTAGATGTTTGATAAGACAGAAGGAGGAGAGATAATGATGGTAGATGTTTGATAGGAAAGAAGGAGGAGAGATAATGATGGTAGATGTTTGATAGGAAAGAAGGAGGAGAGATAAAGACGACATGCATGTATGTTTAATAGTAACGAAGAAGGAGGGATAAGGGCAATAGATGTTTGATAGGAAAGGAAGAGAGATAAGGGGGATAGATGTTTGATAGGAAAGAATGCGCAATCCACATGAGAGCACCCTCCAACCACCCACAAGTGATCAATGTTTGTTTTGACTTGCCAGGATGACACTACCGGGGACTACCAACGTTTGATGTTGGCCCTGGCAACCGGAGGCCCGCCGCCTAAAGCGACATGTCAGTTGGTTTGAAGTTTTCATTGTCATAGTCATTGTCATCATCATCATCATTATCATCTTCATCATTGATCCTGACATCATCATCATTATCATAATTTTTCTTTACATCGTCATCGTCATCATCTTCATCATCATCGTCATCATTATTATTATTATAGAAAAAGCAGTGTATGAGACCTTATGTGTGTTTGTGTGAGTATGTGAGAATGCATGTGTGTATTTGTGTTTATGTGTATATGTGAGAGCGTATGTGTGTATGTGTGTTTGTGCTTGTATGTGTGAGCACATATGTTTATGTGTGTTTCTATGTGGATGAGCGCCTGTGTGTATGTTTGTGTATGTATGTGTGAGCACATATGTGTATGTGTGTTTCTATGTGGATGAGTGCCTGTGTGTATGTTTGTGTATGTGTGTGTGAGGGCCTGTGTGTATGTGTGTTTGTCGGTGTATGTTTGAGCACATATGTGTATGTGTGTTTCTATGTGGATGAGTGAGTGCATGTGTTTATGTTTGTTTGTGTATGTATGTGTGAGCACCTGTGTGTATGTGTGTTTGTCGGTGTATGTTTGAGCACATATGTGTATGTGTGTTTCTATGTGTATGTGTGAGTGCATGTGTGTATGTTTGTTTGTGTATATATGTGTGAGCACATGTGTGTATGTGTGTTTGTGTGTATGGGAGAGCATGTACATGTATGTGAGTTTGTATGTGTGTGTGAGTGAGCGCATGTGAGTGTGTGTTCACCAAATTTCCTCTCATGGATGATAAAAAAGGGAATTTTGTCATACTTGCATTCTAATTTTTGTTTGATCTTTCTTTGCCCTTTTTCCTAGCAAACATCTATTGTCCTTATCTATCTAAGTTTTTTCCTAACGAACATCTATTGTCCCTATCTATCTTACTTTTTTCCTGTCAAACATCTATCTCCCTCATCTATCTTACTTCTTCCGTCAAACATCTATTGTCCTTATCTATCCTTCTTCTTTCCTGTCAAACATCCATCAACCTTATCTATATTTTTTCCCTGTCAAACATCTATTGTCTTTATCTCTCTTTCTTTCTTTGAATGTTATGTGTATTTCTCTAGCAACACCTCTAATCTTCAGCTCTTTTTTTACCTAATTGTGTTGCAAGGGCTGTAAAACTCTTACTAAAACTTTTAAAAAACCCAAACCTTTGTCTGCCCCGTGAGCAGCAGGAAAAGCCTTTGTGGAGTCTGTCAAGTACAAGACGGACGAACAACTGGACGAAGACGTCAAGATGGAAAATGAGCCAAAGCAGGTGGGGAAAACAATGGGAGAAAAAAAATGAAGATGTTTAGTATTAGTGTGTGTGTGCGTGTAATGTGTGTGTGTGTCTGTGTGTGCGCGCGCGTATGTATGTTTGTGTGTGCGTGTGTGTGGCTTGCATGTGTGTACACATGTGCATGTGTGTGTAACGTTTGCGTATGTGTGAGCGTGTAACGTGTGTGTATGTTTGTGTGTGTATGTGTGTGTGTGTGTAACGTGTGTGTGTGTGTGTGTGTGTGTGTGTGTGTGTGTGTGTGTGTGTGTGTGTGTGCGTGCATGTGTGAATATTGCTCGTACTTGCATTTGTGTAAAGCGCCTAGAGCTGTGTTCACAGGGGAGCGTGTGCTATGGAAATGATCTACATTATAATCATTAGTATTACTTACTGGGGTTTCTCGTCTCTCCAGGAAGGGTGGCGTCGGCTACCGGACTCGTAATCGTGAGATTGTGGGTTCGGGGGTTTGAGCCTCAGCTCGGTCCAACGTTGTGTCCTTGGGAAAGGCACTTTACACGATCTTCCCACTTGGCTCGGTCCTATCGGAGACAGATATTAAAATAGGAGGTCCCGCCCCTTAAATAACCTAATAGTGTTGATAGGGGCGTTAAACCCATACCATTTCACCATTTTTTTCCAGGAAGATCCGACCCTGGTACCTTTTGAGGGTTTCAACGCGGAGCAGGATTGTGAAGTTCTACGCAAAGCCATGAAAGGATTCGGTATGTTTGTTGCTAGCTTTAGTCAAAGTTTTTCGGCACTTGCAACACAATTAGGTCTCATAAGTGCCGAAGATTGGAGGTGTTACTAGAGAGTATCAAATAAAGAAAAGAAGGAGGAGAGATGAAGATGATTGATTTTGGATAGGAAAGAAGGAGAAAAACCAGACCCGAGCACCCTTCAACCACCCACTGTGGTATATTCTCTCTCTCACTATTTCACAAATTTCTCCAAATGGATGATTCGATGCTCTAACAGCAGGTGTTTCCTTCAACATTTTTTTCAAGACACCACAAAAGAAACTTTCTGATCAGTGGTTCAGTTATAAAAAAAAGAACCTGTGTACCACATTATTATTTTCTTATTTTCAGTCTGATTATCTAAAAGTTTGCCGGCCAAGGAAAAGAAAAAAAAAGTCGATTTGAGAAAAGATAAGATACATCTTTATTGTCCAGATCCTGGCACATTGGTTTGGTGTTTCACCTCGTACACCCAAACACACACAGACACACACACACACGCACACACACACACACACACACACACACACACACACACACACACACACACAC